TTTTCCCCAAGTTTTTTTCCATGTTTCTAAGTTTAAAAGCTAAGTTAATTCTGTATGCTAAATGAAATGAATCAGAATTAAAAAATAAGGTCTCTTGGCTTAAAAAGGGTAGGGAAATAAACAATGTGTCCTACTACCCATACTCTCTTTCAGTGCAAGCCCAGGGAGGTGATCTCACATTTTAATACCCTTTTACCACTTGTTGTAACAGCAAAGTTAGTGAATGTTTATGGTCTCTGAAAAAGGTTTTTGCCTGCCTCAGCACAAGTTTCCAACTGTTATTCAGTTGATTACAAATAAATATATTATCTTAATAATATGATTTTACATTTTTTTTCCAAGGCATCCTAATGTGTTTTTCATGTGTATATATGTAATGATTTTAGGATTTTTATTTTTTATTCAGACCTTTTTGAAGTAATGTAAAGCGCTTAGAACTGAAAAGTATAAGCGCTATTAATATAAATATTTTATTATTATTATTATTATTATATCCAGTTGGGAGGATTTGAGAGGATTTGATTCCATCAACTACATTTTAAATATATATAGCACAGACACAAACGGTGTAAAAAATTACATGCAACTGTATGGCAAAAACTGATCACAGTGGCCAAAGGAAAGGCACAAATAGAAATGTCACCATTTTCCTGACTTTATAAATTTCCTTTTAAAGCATAGTATTTAGCCAGATGTGGTCCTTGTCAAAACATGCAAACTTGAACATTTATTTTCTGAACCTAGCTAATCCCAACTTTTTTAAACCATAATCTTGTTCCAAGGGGTCATGAGGGGTGGTGTAGTTTTTGGAATTTATAATTTTTCCCTCTTTGTTTGCAGCAAAACACACGAATGAAAACTGAAACTGAAGGCAGTTTAATAACTGCTGTCATGAAAAGAGAATTCCAAACACAAAACATAATTACCCTTTCATTTGCCTAAGATTCATTTGTTAGAAACTACGGTAAAGTTTAAATTAAATCACACGAAGAACGAAACTTTAACATATCAACATGTGCAAAATCAAGAGAGAATGATCTCTTGGTAAAATTTATTTAGCTTCTAGTACATAAAGAAATGCATGGACTACGAGATTTGACCATGCCACTCGATCATCCAACGCAACTCTGCCAGGATAAGTTCACAATCAAGCATGCAAAATTAAGAATCTCAATCATCATAACCTGAGATCAGGCCCAATTTGAGCGGTTCTCATATATTCTCTCTGACGGCTACCGCTGAAATTGGCTCTTTTCGTTTCGCCTTGCCTACCGAAATGTAATTTTCAAAGCGAAGCGAAAATAGAGCCTGATCTCAGGTTACAATCATCATTTCTTCTCGTCTTAAAGGTGTACTAAAACCGTAAACAACTCTGACAACTCTTCTACTCGACCACAGCCACCGCACTTTTTTTTAATACTGGGAAGAATTAATGTTGGGCCTTTCACTTGATAATATAAACTCTTCTACATACGTGTTAGAGGGCTGGCCCTTCTCTTAGTCTTGTGGCTCTTCTAAACAGAAACACATAGTCAAAAGGTCGGACATCGAGAAACATGTTCACCAGTCTCGTTCTTCATTCTTAGCGTAGTAAACCGCATGTAATGACAAACGCAAGACCAGAAGAAAGGAAAACGTAAGCTCCACATTACCGCGGAAAAAGATTGGTTACGGCAAAGTCGAATAAAAGCAATGACCAACAGGACTAACATTATAAACGCGAATTCACTTCACACTATCGAATCGCTGCGAAGATGAGCTTCTTGTTGTTTTTCTCAGCCCGTTTCGCGCATGCTCGCTACCGTTCTCGATTGATTGACAGATTTCTTAACTGAGGCGATCATGGAAAGCCGAAAAGCGGCAAGATCAAAGGCCGTTGCCAGCCCCCCCCTGGGTTACGTTTTTAAGCCGGCTTCCCGCTGTTTGCTTTTTTCAAAGATGAACTCGAGGCAAGAAAATCGCTCACAGCTTTCTTTTACAGCCAGAATTACAACTAAATATTCTTTGGAACGTTTTCTTTCTATTGGCGGTGAGAAAATGTCTAAAGGCTTTTTTAAGTTCTGTATTATTGCTGCGGAGCGACCGTAGGGAGCGAGCAGCAACATAATCAGGATTAAGGGAAATATATAAGGCGGGCGACGAATTCTCGAATTCATCACTTTTTACCACAATGCATTGCATTTAACCAGAGTGCATTGCGCCAAAAACAACTCCAATAAAAACACGGGGAAGTTCGCATCGTTCGCTGCCCAGACTCTTTTCTTTGTAGCAAATTTTCTACAGCACTGTTAAGGTCTTATCAAATTTAAGACACGTAGGAGTCTTTCAGATGAGTACGATGGTTAACTTGGGGATTGGATTTCAATTCAAGAGCCTTTGACTCGTCCAGGTGTTAAACCTGACGAGAAGATGAAAATTCCAGCTTGCTAGGTGATGTGAAAGTGAGAAAATGTCATTCTATGCTATTCTTAAGATCCTGTATGAGCCGAAAATGGATGTGATTTTGACCATTCGCTTCAAAATAACAGCGGAAATCGAGATAACAAAACATATATTTTGTGTCCTACGTTGCAGAGAGGACGTGTATCGGCGTTTTGAAAAGCATAATTATGTTCTTTCATTCCTTCATTGCCATGGAATATGCGTTTACATTGTTTTTTTACTGTTAATAGCTCGATTAATGCGGCGGGCGATCATCTTGCCGGCGGAAGTTTCATGGAAAAGGCATTAAATATTAAAGACTTTTCTCAATGGTTAGGTGTAGTCGTGTCGAGCCGATGGTGCCGGGTCCGAATCCTATACCGAACTCTTTTTTTCCTTCTTTCTTTTTTTTTCCGTTTTTGTGTTGTTGTTTTCTATAAATATATAGCTAAATAACTGTTACTTAATAAAGTGCAATAAACAGCAAGAAAAGTATCGTGTTTCCAGAAAAAGATAGTACACCATATATTAAATATATGGATAAACAATCTGAATTTCTATCATTTCCTACAATTTACTGTGGGAAAACCAGAGTTGATCACCACTTGATCATTTTCTAAACAACGTTCCCACAAGTTCTTTCTATAGACTGATAGTAATTATTCTAGTACTTTCCAACATGTAAGTAGGACATTAAACATCATTTTCGATTCTTTTAAGTCCCACTGCATGTCTGACTAATGCTAGTATCAACAGAATGTGCCGCAGCATTACTATCTTTTAGATACCCTAGTATATAAGCTTATATCAAACCGATACTCGGTCAGATCATTGTCTCATATCTTACAAACGTGCATAAACTGAATAGCCGCATGAACTACTCTCGACTTCATTAAATTAGATATAAAGAACAAACATCAAATTCAATAATTCCTCAGGCTTACCATTTGAGATGCAGCTCTTGAAAGGTATCAAGTAAGGCCAGGATCCCTTCACACTTCAGTTTGAAATCAAAATTTTAATTGTGCGGCACATTAACACACCGTATTTCATATGAATTAAAACAAGGCCTTCATGGCCTAAACCGCCGTGGCGAATTATTGTAATCAATATCCTTAGTATTTTTCCTTTCCAGTTTTTATGTTGTACGTCATTTCCGCATTTCCCTTTTAATGCGACATTCTCCATCTATATAATATTGTGATTGCCACATAAGTTCAGTAACATCTGTAAACCTGAAGAAGGCTGGTATGGCCAGCCGAAATATTGTTATAAAAACAATACACGTTGTTTTAAATCAGCTTTGCAGTAGTCTTTGGACTTCTCGTTCTTGGTTCTTTATATTTTGGCTGATTTGATCTCTTTTCTAGAGATCCAACGTTTACAACTAGTATAGCAGGATCTTCGTCCACGGTTTTTGCAGTTAATTTAATCCTAAAACTGATACCCCGTTCTAGAAATTGGCTAACATATTATACTACGTTCTAGAAAGTTTGTAAATTGAAATAGCCCTATTTTTTAAAAAAGATATTCCTTTATTTGTTCGACTTATACATCAAATAAATGCTTCTTCATAATCATCCGGAGTACCTTTCCTGTGCCATATGGATACAATGCTGTTAATTATGACGCAAAATCTCTCACCACGCACAGAACCACGCTCGTAAGCAAACGATTTTCCTTCTCCTCCCCCGTCCCTTTCTTTGAGGCCGTCTCCATCTCCCTCGGGGATTTTCCTCCCTCGGGTTGGTACATTATGGACTCGTTCCAGACTTCCGCGCGCCTATTTATCCAAGATGGCGGAGTCAGAACTCGCCAAAATACGCCCGCCCTGCAAGCTAAAACACAGAGTGCAACAAGAGTACAACAGTTTGCTTGTTAACTCACTGAACCGTATTGTTAAAAGCAATCTGTCCTTAAATAATTTCAAATGGCTGCTTACAAAACTGGAGCGTTCGTGCGTTCGAAATATTATACCCCGTTCCTTTGTGATAGTCTCCCCTACCTCACCCGTACAATCTGTAGACGCGTACGCTCGGTCAATCACGTGACAACCAAACGAAAAGAGGTTGACCATATTCTATAACGTATGGAGCTCAGTCCCACTCGCTCTTCGCGCGTGGGAGCCCCGCTAAAAAATTAAAGTATTTCATCTCGTTAAGCACTTAAAGAAACTGATTGGTTGTCAGGGTAAAAATTCAAAAAGTAGTTCTTTGCTCCGTTTCAAGGTCGTCAACAGTACATTTCAAGAAGAATGCGACATCCGATTTGCCAATCAAAATTGTACCGAGTGATCCCCAATGAAGACAATTATGGATAATTGCTCAGCCGTCATCTGTACTTTTGCTTTAAATTGTGAGCTAACAGCTCTCAGTCCTACTTTCTTTCTTACTACATATAAACAAGTTCATCTATAGAGAACATTCATTGCACTACCCACTAATTTTTAAGATCACAACTTTTTAATTATCCACTTTCAACTTCCCTAGCCAGTCAACTTGTAGCCCTCGGCAACCTATTTTATTTTAAGTGGAAAGCTAATATTAGGATCATTTTTCAAAAGGTTTAAAGTCTCAACTATGGCCCTTTCAAAGGAATATACCAATGAAGAACTAAACTACTTCAGAATCTGTAAAGTTACCACCGATATACTAGCTGAGGGTCTGAGAGTAATTTTTAAACAAGAATGGGACAATCGATACAAGTCATCTCTATTTGGAGAATGGAAAGATGACCCTCAGAATGGAAGGGACTTTCACAACAAGGAGTCTCCACCAAGCAAGAAAAGGAATGGTCGTCTTTTGGCCACCATGCTAAACGGAGATAGAAGGGAATGGGACTGTACGATGCTATTTTACGCCATTCTTTTTTCCGACTGTGTTGGCAAAGGCATTTGCGCATCAGTCAGGACAAATGTGGACGATCTTAGAAAATTTAGGAATGAAGAATTTGCTCACATAACACAAGGCAATCTCTCTGACAAAGATTTTCACATCGCCATTAGCAAAGTTCACATTGCTTTTCAAGCGCTTGGTCTACCTACTGCACAAATTCAGGACATAAAAAATCAGAAAGCCTTTCCCACGGAAGAGTTGCGAAAGATTCAGAAACAGGTTGACGACCTGAAACGGGAACTTCAAGAAACGGAGAATAAGAAAACAGTTCTTGAACATCAGCTCCAGAAAGAAGCACCCTCATTCTGCATTCTTCCACCCAAACCCTCTCACGAAGTTGGAGGTCGTGATCGTCAGGTCGCTAAGATAACCCAACAACTGAGGGAGCTTAAAGAGGCTAATGATAACAGGTTAAGTTATCTATACATCTCAGGAAATCCTGGAAGTGGCAAATCGCAGCTAGCTGGCCTTGTAGCTCAGAATTTCTTTGATGAAGCCAAAAAAATACAAGACACTACTTCACTTGTGATGACCTTAAATGCAGGAAATCTAGATTCACTCTTGGAATCATACACCTCCTTTGCTCGTCAATTGAAGTGCCCGGAACACTTGGTCATGGAAGTTCTGACCTCCAAGGATTGGAAGGTTGAGGAGAAAATCACCCAGCTTAAGATGATTGTTGCCGAGAAAATCAACCTGTACACGTCGTGGCTAATAGTGGTTGACAACGTCACTAGCGTGTCTTCTATCTTTAATTTTCTGCCAAACTCTGGACACAATGCATGGAAAAAGGGTCAGATGTTAATTACAACACAGGATACAGAGTCTATTCCCTCAACAAACTCTTTTAGTTGTCATATATCAGTAAGCAAAGGTATGGAGCCCAAAGACGCCATTTTCTTGTTGTCAAAGCTTTCAGGTATCGCCTACAGCGAACTTGAAGAGAACGTTGCAGAAAAACTGGACTATCAGCCCCTCGCTTTAGCAAGTGCTGCTATCTTTGTTAAAGAGATTCGTCAGACCAAATTTTTGAAAAATTTTGGCTGGAGTGAATTTTTGAAGAAATTAGACGAAGGCAAAAGAAGCACTACCGAGGATAATCTTGCTAATACCAACCCAATTTACCCAAGCACTATGACTAAAGCGATAACGTTAGCAGTCGAATCGCAGATTAAGTCCGACAGAGTTGTCAAACAACTATTCAATTTCCTTTCTCTGTGTGCACCTCAACCATTAAACCTGAGCTTAGCAATCAATTACATTAGGAAAGCCGTAGATGCAACAGACAATGAACTTATTTGCTTGAGGATCAGAAGGTGCTCACTGTTGATTTTTGAAGAGGACGAGGCTGGCTGCCGCGTTCGAGTACATCAGGTTGTACATAATGCTATCAAAACTTTAATAAATGCGTATGGAGAGAGTCCAAAGCCCGAGGTCGTCAATAGGGCTGTTGCCACATTAAACCAGTTCATAATCGAAATCTCACCAGAGAATAGGACACTGGATGCGATGCACATTGTGCCGCATTTAAAAGCTATAGCTGATCATGTGTTTTTGAAAGGAAGGGTATCTCAAGTTTATTATGAAAGCATCTTAAAAACATTTGAAAACTTTGGTCTGACTTGTCAAGCGCATTGTGAATTTAACGTTGCAAAAAGGTTCTTCAATCTGTTAGCTGGTGTCCAGATTAAAGAACTTGGAGCTGAGCATGTTTATGTCGCAACGACGTACGATAACCTAGGTCTAATTCACCAAGTCCTAGGTGACTTTAAGCAAGCCAAGGAGTATCATCAACGTGCTTTTGCCATCAGACTTGAGAAGCTCGGCGCCAAACATGTTGATGTTGCAACGACGTACAATTACCTAGGTCTAATCCACCAACACCTAGGTGACTTTGAGCAAGCCAAGAAGCATCATCAACTTGCTTTAGCCATTATACTTGAGAAGCTCGGCGACAAACATGTTCATGTTGCAACGACGTACGATAACCTAGGTAGAATTCACGGTAAACTAGGTGACTTTCAGCAAGCCAAGAAGCATCATCAACTTGCTTTAGCCATTAGACTTGAGAAGCTCGGCGCCAACCATGTTGATGTTGCAACGACGTACAATAACCTAAGTCTAGTCCACGAATACCTAGGTGACTTTGAGCAAGCCAAGGAGTACTATCTAAGTGCTTTAACCATCTATTTAGAGAAACTTGGTGCCGAACATGTTTATGTTGCAACGACGTACGATAACCTAGGTGGAATTCACGGTAAACTAGGTGACTTTCAGCAAGCCAAGAAGTATCATCAACTTGCTTTAGCCATCACACTTGAGAAGCTCGGCGCCAAACATGTTGATGTTGCAACGACGTACAATAACCTAGGTCTAATCCACCAACACCTAGGTGACTTTGAGCAAGCCAAGAAGCATCATCAACTTGCTTTAGCCATCAGACTTGAGAAGCTCGGCGCCAACCATGTTGATGTTGCAACGACGTACAATAACCTAGGTCTAATCCACCAACACCTAGGTGACTTTGAGCAAGCTAAGAAGCATCATCAACTTGCTTTAGCCATTAGTCTTGAGAAGCTCGGCGACAAACATGTTGATGTTGCAACGACGTACGATAACCTAGGTCTAATCCACCAACACCTAGGTGACTTTCAGCAAGCCAAGAAGCATCATCAACTTGCTTTAGCCATTAGTCTTGAGAAGCTCGGCGCCAACCATGTTGATGTTGCAACGACGTACAATAACCTAAGTCTAATCCACGAATACCTAGGTGACTTTGAGCAAGCCAAGGAGTACTATCTAAGTGCTTTAACCATCTATTTAGAGAAACTTGGTGCCGAACATGTTTATGTTGCAACGACGTACGATAACCTAGGTAGAATTCACGGTAAACTAGGTGACTTTCAGCAAGCCAAGAAGCATCATCAACTTGCTTTAGCCATTAGACTTGAGAAGCTCGGCGCCAACCATGTTGATGTTGCAACGACGTACGATAACCTAGGTAGAATTCACGGTAAACTAGGTGACTTTCAGCAAGCCAAGAAGCATCATCAACTTGCTTTAGCCATTAGACTTGAGAAGCTCGGCGCCAACCATGTTGATGTTGCAACGGCGTACGATAACCTGGGTAGAATTCACGGTAAACTAGGTGACTTTCAGCAAGCCAAGAAGCATCATCAACTTGCTTTAGCCATTAGACTTGAGAAGCTCGGCGCCAACCATGTTGATGTTGCAACGACGTACAATAACCTAAGTCTAGTCCACGAATACCTAGGTGACTTTGAGCAAGCCAAGGAGTACTATCTAAGTGCTTTAACCATCTATTTAGAGAAACTTGGTGCCGAACATGTTTATGTTGCAACGACGTACGATAACCTAGGTGGAATTCACGGTAAACTAGGTGACTTTCAGCAAGCCAAGAAGCATCATCAACTTGCTTTAGCCATCAGACTTGAGAAGCTCGGCGCCAAACATGTTGATGTTGCAACGACGTACAATAACCTAGGTCTAATCCACCAACACCTAGGTGACTTTGAGCAAGCCAAGAAGCATTATCAACTTGCTTTAGCCATCAGACTTGAGAAGCTCGGCGCCAAACATGTTGATGTTGCAACGACGTACAATAACCTAGGTCTAATCCACCAACACCTAGGTGACTTTGAGCAAGCCAAGAAGCATCATCAACTTGCTTTAGCCATTAGACTTGAGAAGCTCGACGACAAACATGTTCATGTTGCAACGACGTACGATAACCTAGGTAGAATTCACGGTAAACTAGGTGACTTTCAGCAAGCCAAGAAGCATCATCAACTTGCTTTAGCCATTAGACTTGAGAAGCTCGGCGACAAACATGTTCATGTTGCAACGACGTACGATAACCTAGGTAGAATTCACGGTAAACTAGGTGACTTTCAGCAAGCCAAGAAGCATCATCAACTTGCTTTAGCCATTAGACTTGAGAAGCTCGGCGCCAACCATGTTGATGTTGCAACGACGTACAATAACCTAAGTCTAATCCACGAATACCTAGGTGACTTTGAGCAAGCCAAGGAGTACTATCTAAGTGCTTTAACCATCTATTTAGAGAAACTTGGTGCCGAACATGTTTATGTTGCAACGACGTACGATAACCTAGGTGGAATTCACGGTAAACTAGGTGACTTTCAGCAAGCCAAGAAGTATCATCAACTTGCTTTAGCCATCAGACTTGAGAAGCTCGGCGCCAAACATGTTGATGTTGCAACGACGTACAATAACCTAAGTCTAATCCACAAACACCTAGGTGACTTTGAGCAAGCCAAGGAGTATCTTCAACTTGCTTTAGCCATCAGCCGTGAGAAGCTCGGCGACAAACATGTTGATGTTGCAACGACGTACGATAACCTGGGTAGAATTCACGGTAAACTAGGTGACTTTGAGCAAGCCAAGAAGCATCATTAACTTGCTTTAGCCATCAGACTTGAGAAGCTCGGTGCCAAACATGTTCATGTTGCAACGACGTACAATAACCTAGGTCTAATCCACCAACACCTAGGTGACTTTGAGCAAGCCAAAGAGTACTATCTAAGTGCTTTAACCATCTATTTAGAGAAACTTGGTGCCGAACATGTTAATGTTGCAACGACTTACGATAACCTGGGTAGAATTCACGGTAAACTAGGTGACTTTGAGCAAGCTAAGGAGTATCATCAACTTGCTTTAGCCATCAGACTTGAGAAGCTTGGCGCCAAACATGTTGATGTTGCAGGGACGTACAATAACCTAAGTCTAATCCACGAACACCTAGGTGACTTTGAGCAAGCCAAGGAGTGTCTTTAACTTGCTTTAGCCATCAGCCGTGAGAAGCTCGGCGACAAACATGTTCATGTTGCAACGACGTACAATAACCTAGGTAGACCTCACGGTAAACTAGGTGACTTTGAGCAAGCTAAGGAGTATCTTCAACTTGCTTCAGTCATCAGCCGTGAGAAGCTCGGCGACAAACATGTTGATGTTGCAACGACGTACGATAACCTAGGTTTAATCCACCAAGACTTAGGTGACTTTGAGGAAGCCAAGTGGCATTTTGAGCGTGCTTCTACCATTTACGTTAAGAAGTGCAATACGAAAAACGTGGATGTTGAAGAGCAAAGAATGAAACAAGTAACCCGTGGCGATTACAGTGACTGACTTCGCAAAAGTTGTGTTGTCGACCACTGACTAAAGTAATAATAAAAGGGAGGTCAACTTATCAGTGACTTCTTGAAATGCTTTTTATTAATTGTTTTATTATCTGCATAATAGCAAAGGATTGAAACACCCCGACAAGGGTGGTTCGTAATAAATTGAGTTGCATGCATCGCTTATAAATATCTTTTCAGTTTTTTTTTAATTCTTACCTTTAGTCCGTTTACAGACATTCTATTTTTATTTAAAAAAATAGAAATCGTTGAGCGCACATGTGCGAAAAAAAAAATCCACAGGTGTTTTATATAACTCTAGCGTAAGCGGTCGGGGTGAGGAAGTGAGAAAATAGACCGCTTCCTGCGCTTGTCGAATTTGCCTAATAACGAAAGAAAACGTCTCTGTACAGACTATCACTCTTCTTGCAGCTGTGAATTCTCATTCGCGGGCGAAAAAGGAAGGCTTTTTACGCCGCAAAATATAATATTAAGGCGGCGAAATGTAACAAATTTTGATGCAGAATATAACAATAACCCGAAATGTAACAAGGTATCAGCCACCCTTCAGGACCGTCCGCGCGCGGATCGCTGTAGCGTTAGTTGTTTTTATAAAAACCCCTATAAACCATATATTTTTTAAAAGCTTAATAATTCCAGATTATGGATTTGGACTAACAAAAACGATTTACTCAAATGTGTTTCGAAATTGGAACGCTTTGTGTAAAAGTACATGTCTCTATAAATCATGTTCCACTCCCGCCGGAGATAAACGGAAGAAAACAATTAACACCGCATTCGCTTCTCAACACGTTCCACTAAAAAACCGTGTCTCAGATTTTTGACAAGTGCGTTTGTTTTTCTTTTATTAGCAAATGAAGTTGGGGAAGGCAATAAGTCAACACTCCCTGTGGAAAAAAAGCTCTAGCTTTAAAATGAAAAGGAGTATTAAAATTCGCAGACACGGTTTTGTAGAAGAGGTATATGGCATCACTCTGGCCAAATTTTAGCCAAATTGATTGAAAGGCTGCCGACTTGGACTTCAAAACGTACGAGTCGATCGGCAAAATTTGCGTTCGGAGATAACATAGAAAATACATTTTTGGCGGCATCCTACCTGGAATGAGATTATAACACCTAACTGTTTATTCTGATCGATATCAGAGAGGGATCAATTTTCTCTAACAATAGGACTTTGACAGGTAACATGTAACAGGAACAAACTTTTTATTGCTATTAACATCTTCAAGTGAACAGTTTAATTCTCCGTTGGAAAACTTCCACTCTTTTACACCACGAGAAGCACGGTTTAATGCTTTCTCGAGCAAAAGTTTTGCCTCTCCTTCGATCTTTTTTGTATGATCCGCCCAGGCGTTTTTGTTGATCGGCGCCAGGCCAAGGAAACTAAAAAACTTTGACGCCGCCGAATGTCCACCACCGATTGCTCGAAGGCCAAAAACTGAGGCCCGGTATATTTCAAACGCTCTGCTCTTCTCGGAAGAATTAAAAACAGAATTTGTCTTGTGCGACGGACAGCTTTCATTCTCGCACTGGATTCTCCAGGTAGAACCAAGTCCATGCTTAGTCGCTACTTTTTCCATGACTTGGACTCTTCCCTGGAAAAATCGACAAGATACAGACTCGTCCAGTTTCTCAAGCAGCTTTTCGCTCGATACGATAGCTCGACCGCTTATTGTTTTCCACGTTCCATCAGCAGATGGGGTCGATGAGCTTAATTGGCTTTCTTCATCTGGCTCTTCACGCTGGATTTTGGAGCGGCTTGCACTCTCAGCAACTGCAGCGTTTTCGCTTTTCTGAATATCCAACTCCTCGAGTCGCTTCTCTTGCTGATAAAATGAGCCTTTGTCGCTCTTTGCCAATTTTGCGGCCCATTCTTTGTCAAACTCGCTCTTCGATTTCTTTTTCGCTCTCGGGTTTCGATGACGAAAACGGTCGCGACCTTTTCTTTTTTTCTTTTTGGCGGCATTTTCATCGAAGCAAACGCTAAATATCCACGGAGAATACTAAAGGCTATAAACAACGCGAAGACAATTCGCACGTGTTGTGTCGAAGCACGCACTCGGTATCACGTTACTAGCTCACAGGCAAGCTAATTGATGGACACGGGTATGACAGATCTTGTCAACTATCATATTAAGATAGTTCACAAGAAAAAATCTTTTACCCCCCAAAATCTTTCGACAGAAATAATATTTTCTTCTGATTTTTTTTTTAAAGAAAGCTCTCAAGCATATCTATTTGAAAACGTTGAAATCTCAAATACGGAAAAATGGCAATTTTAAGGGTGGCTGATACCTTAACGCGAACCTTCAGTTACGGGGGTTAGCCTTTAAGAATAGGCCACTTCTGAGTTCCAAAAACCCTCACTTTCAAAATGAGTCTAGGTGCACAACCTTTCTTGTAAAATGAGCTTTATTTGCATGAGAATGAAAAATGATTTCCATATCAAAGGCTGAGCACCTACCCTCGTTTTAAAACAGAGTCGCGGGGGAACTCGGAAATGGCCTATTGACACGAAGCCTTTCATTTCATAGGACCCGGGTCAAAGAGTACCTCACTGAAGCCACTCTGTGAGGGGTGATTCAATATGTGATATATTTTTTTTAATTTAAGCAAAACCGCTAAAAGTTGATATATACTATATCGCTTTTAGTTATAATTAACCAGTCGAGTTATATGCTAAGTTCATTAATTTTTCTTCAGTGTCATTTTATTTGAAAAAGTGCGGATATAAGGACAATAAAAAGAGAAATAAATGGAAATAAATTTTGCAAAGGAAAAAGATAGGCGTTGTATTAAGAATGGAATGAGGAGTGTAACAGGTGTGATGATATGACTTGTGTGGTGTAAAAAGCAATATAATCTGTGTGGTGTATAACATGTAGCAAGTGTAGAACAGCGCAAGTGTAGGAAGCGTGCAAGCAAGTGTAGCAGATATAGCAAGCGTATCAATTTATGTAACACGTAGCAAGCGTAGCAGATGTAGCAAGCGTAGTAAATATAGCACGTAGCAAGTTTAGCACATGTAGCAAGTGTAGCAAGCGTATAGCAAGTGTAGCAAACGTAGCAATGTAGCAAGCGTGGCAACTGTAGCAACTGTAGCAAGCGTAGCAAGCGAAGCAAGTGTAGCAAGCATAGTAAATGTAGCAAGCGTAGCAACTGTAGCAAGTGTAGCAAGTGTAGCAAGTGTAGCACATGAAGCAAGCGTAGCAAGCGTAGCAAGCGTAGCACATGTAGCAAGTGTAGCAAGTGTAGCGACAGTAGCAAGCGTAGCGAGTGTACCAAGCGTGGCAACTGTAGCTAGTGTAGCAACTGTAGCAACTGTAGCAAGCGTAGCAACTGTAGCAACTGTAGCAAGTGTAGCAAGCGTAGCAAGTAAAGCAAGTGTAGGAAGTGCAGCAATTGTAGCAACAGTAGCAAGCGTAGCAAGCGTAGCAAGTGTAGTACATGTAGCAAGCGTAGCAACTGTATGTAGCACATGTAGCACATGAAGCAAGCGCAGCAGGCGTAGCAACTGTAGCACATGTAGCAAGCGTAGCAAGTGTAGCAGCGTACAGGTGTAGTGAGAGTAGCAAGTGTAGCAAGCGTAGCAAGCGCAGCAACTGTAGCGCATGTAGCAAGTGTAGCAGCCTAGCAAGCGAAGCAAGCGTTGTAAGCGTAGCAGGTGTAGTAAGCGTAGCAAGGGTAGCAAGCGTACCACAC